CCTCTCTGGTATCTGTTCTCGAACAATTCAACACCCTGATTCTCAAGTCAATCGATTATGCATATCCCCAGATAAGCGTTTCTTAGCTGCGGCTGGCCACCATACTGTCAAGCTTTATGACATTAAGTCAACCAATCCAAATCCGCTCCTCACATTCGAGGGACATACAGGGAATATTACGGGCGTCGCGTTCCATTGCGAAGGAAAATGGATGGTTACAAGCTCGGAGGATGGCACAGTTAAAATCTGGGAGACTCGGAGTGGCACCGTCCAAAGAAGTTATAGTCATGGCTGCCCGGTTAATGATGTAGTGATTCATCCCAATCAAGGAGAAATCATTAGTTGTGATCGCGGAGGTAGTGTTCGTATTTGGGATCTTGCAGAAAATAACTGCTCCCATCAACTTATTCCGGAGGAAGACGTCCCTGTTTCTAGCGTCACTGTCGCAACTGATGGATCAACCTTGTGTGCTGGTACTAACTCGGTAAGAGCATGCGCGAGGGATGCATCAGACTTGTATTAACTCCTGTTTAGGGCAGCGTCTACGTTTGGCAGCTCCTTCAATTCCGCGAAAAGACTCAGCTTATGCCGATTACTCACTTCAAAGCTCACAACCAGTACATCACTAGAGTTCTTCTCTCTCCAGATGTTAAGAAACTCGCAACATGTAGTGCTGACCATACGGCCAAGATCTGGGAGGTAGACTTTACTGCCCTAGCTCCTAATCCAAACCAACCTCAAACAGAAGCAAGAGCATTCAATCTTGAATCAACCTTGACAGGTCATCAAAGATGGGTCTGGGATTGCGCTTTTAGTGCCGATTCGGCTTACCTTGTTACTGCTTGTTCAGATCACTATGCTCGTCTTTGGGAGTTGCATAGTCAGTCAGTAATCAGACAATACAATGGTCATCATCGCGGTACATCTACATCACTTCAAACATACCTCACAGTGCCCCTTCTGACCTAATATCTACTATAGGACTCGTTTGCGTTGCTTTGAATGATTATTCCGAAGCTCGTTAAAACTCGTATCTGCTCGCGTGCATTGATTTAGGCGTTCCACTTTCAACCGGTTGCGGAGTTATAGGATTATACACGTTGCACATCCTGGAAGATTTCATTGAGTCGTCTCTACTGACTATCTAGTCTATCCACCTAGTGGTAATTCTATGCATGGCTTTGGCGTATGTAGGTATGGGCTTCGTTAGCATGGCGTTGTGACACAATGGCGGTGATTCACACGGTGTTGTGCATATCATGGGTGGATGGCTAACGTTCAATGATAAGTCATCAATTTGAATGACGATTATATCAAATCTTATTAATATTTACAAAAGCGAGCATTAATCCATCCGTCTTTCGGTGATCACAATCTAGTCTATCAACATCATCCAAATTCTCCAAAGCACTCTTCGTGACTTCCAACAAGTTGTGTCCCAATCCCTCATTCATCGACTTCGCAATTCTCGCCCATTTACCTTGACACGCTCATCACACCCATTACCCTTCACGTCATTCATCTTCGTCCAGGCTCCTTCCGGCATCTTCGCTTCCCTTCATCCCCGTAATCTTATCCAATTAGAAGACAATTTCATATTCATGACAGCCAGGTACATAGCTATCACCATTATCTCTGGACATTATTTCGCTGCTAAAGATTTGTACACGATGCCGCTAGATGATTTGAACACAACGAAACCGGTCTCCAAAAAGTGGAATGAAAGCATTTGATGTTTCCCTGGGGGAATTCTAGAAGAGAGATCTATTTTGCCGCGAGCATGGAACTGATAAAGATCAAGTGACGTGGTTGTTATATATATGGAGTAGGTGTAGAGGAGAGCCGGGAAGCGAAGAGAAGAGGGAGGAGAACTTTGGCAAGCGGGATGTAGTTTAGGTGATTGGGTTCGAAGTGAATTCCATAGCTATTGTCTGTGAAGCTAGGTGATCATTAATAATGCTGGATTTATGGTAGAGAATATCAATAAGGGGAGCTAGAGGGAGAGAAGGTTTTGTGGGGGTAAGGAGGGGGTTTGTGGAGGCGAGATAAGGAGGGTGGATATCAAATATGAAGTATTATGACTGTGAGTTAGCGAGCTATATATGTACTTCTTGACAAAAAAGAGTTGCTGTTTTATTGTCTTCATCAACTCAGGAGATTATATATCTTGAATCAAGCATAGTCAACATATAATAGTGAAATTTTTCCAATCGTATCGAAAGTTTGATGGAATATATACGGCATGGGCTTATAAGTATATAGAGAGACGTTGAATATAAGACTAGAAAAGACACCAGCCGAAGCCAAGATTCATAGATGAATATAGACTTGGCTTAAAGTGAATTAGCACACCTATCTCATTGGAATCAGGATTCACTCTTTTTTCGCAGGTTTTAACCAATTATTACCTAGGTACTTCTGCAAAGTTTTTGTTGCATGTCTTGAAGAACTCAGTTTTGACACCGACTATTCTCTCGTATCTAAAGTTCAAACTATGAGCAATCAATGGAAGAGATCAAAGTACGGACATTGTCAAGCATACCTGATGCAATCACGTGAAAGTCACGCTTTAATGCGAAAGGCCAAAAAATACATACTGCAATGTAAAAAATGCTATTTCTAAGCTACTTCTAAGCTGGGAGTAAAATTCAAACATCATCAAAAAGTTCCTGATCAATCAATCAATTCTGAAGCAAAGTGGTGTTGTGGTAGAAGAAGTATTCTGTGTAGATCTTGCTGCCTTCAACTTCACGATTTCTTTCACTCTCCACCCATACCTACTATTGCATTGCAAAATGGCGTCAAAAAATAATGCCTCACATGCAGAAGTATGGGATGATTCCACACTCGTAGATTCGTGGAATGAAGCTCTACAAGAATATGAGGTAAAGAATTTGTATCGATTGTGTGAACTCTGCTAATGTCAAAATAGAAATATCATAGTATCCATGCTCGAGGAGAGAAAGTCGAGGATGTGTTGAACGCATTCGAGAACCAAAGTAATGGATTGCAAGTTTGTCTTCTCCCGACTGTTGCCACATTGCTAACCTTTTGTAGAGAAGGGGAGATGAATGAAGATAATGGAGAAGGTGTTGAAGGTGTTGAAGAACCGATGGAAGAAAATGTTGTCATGCAAAGCGAGTTTGAGCAAATCGATGACAACACCCAAACAGCGAACGAACCAAAAGTAAGCATTGAAAACGGTCTATCAATATACAACTTGACTGATTCTTATGTATTATTAGGTTGGTGACAAATCCGCACCAAAAGCGACCAAATTTGGTTCTTCGTCTTCAAAGGCTCCAATGCTACCACCACAGTTAATTGGTCAAGGTAAGACGTGCAAGCGTTTTCATGATATACGTAAGATCGAGACTGACGTGGAATTCTCATACAGTTCACGATGAAAATCTCAAGAATTTATTGATGTCTTGGTACTATGCCGGCTACTATACTGGATTGTATGAAGGCCAACAGCAAAAGCAAGAACCAAGTAAGGGTACATGATGAACATAAGGCATAGGATGGATCCTTTATGAGGGAACTATTATCACTACTGCGACTATCTGTGACACGGATAGTTTGAACCATCTGATCTTATTCAGGCCGGATCATTAAGATTGGCATTGGGATGAAGTCCGAGCTGTGCCATGTTGTGCCGTTGTGACAGATATCATATCCATCAAAAGCATATGAGGGATGATCTTATGTTAGCTTGTACTTCATGGAAGAACCGATGTTACAGCAGGTATAGGAGACATGTATTATATGGTTTCATGATTGATAACGGGTACCTTACATCATTGCGTCTTGAACTAAGTTTCTTTACTCTTCTCACGATTATATCCCCGAAGGAGTTCATGATTATGCTTATGATAAGATGTGGAACTGGGCGACTTCATTCGATAATGGACACCTCAAATTGATAACATCTGGGATAATAAACCGCTGCGTACATTTTATAAAGGATTCTACGGAAGACATTGCTGAATGTGGGCATACGATGAAACGGTCACTTTCATCTCACCCCCTGGTGCCCCTAGCATATCCAACCTCAAAAAACTTCAGTAACGACACTTCCATCAATTCATAATCTTTTCCCGCGCTTCCATCAATTATCAGATAAAATTTCTCCTTCTTTTCATCTCCAAATCTAACGTTCGAGACATTAGCCCTTTCAAGGATTTCAACATTAAAGTTTACCTATATCCAGCCTCCCGTCGTCCCATCATGACAGCTGAGACGAATCTGGCACGCGCCACAGGAGGTGCCAAAACAGTAACTGTTAGGGCTGGACCGGGGTAAAATATTCTCATGGGGCAAAGATTGGAGTTCGATATAGGCTATAGTATAGCCTGTGCATACAATCTTCAGTGACCTTTGGCGTTGGAATACAGGGATAAAAGATCTCTGATTATCTTGTGTTTGGGCTTGGCATGATGACAAGGGTTTTCATCACATCTTCATCCAAACCTCGTTTCTAAAACGTTGGATCTTTGGCTTACAACCTTGAATTAAGTCTTTTAGTAGTACATTTCTCTCTATCATGGCAGTTTAGTTGGATTAGATCCGGACGAGTAGGTCTCCGAGTGGTACGATAAATCCTGGAGGCTTTTTTCCTCCGTTCATTGAGTCGTTTCGACCAAGGATATTCGAAGCAAGTGCTTTTCATTTTGTCTTCAAGTCCTGGTATTGCCATTCTTATGGTTGAATTTATACCAAGACCGTCCCCAAGACCTGATGCATTGTTTTTTGACATTCTATCGTTCATAAACTTGTGAACACTCTCATTCACCTTTTTTGCTTTCTCTATTAATTACTATCACGAGCAGGCCCTCGACAACTGGCTACTTTACTACTCTAGTCAACTCACAATCATTACACAAGCCAAGACAACTTTGATAGTTTAATTCTCCTCCGCAGCGCGGCTTACATATCATTCTTTCATATTCATCTTATACCCATACGGCATTCAGTCTTTATATCCTAATATATTCATCATGAGATCCTCAGTTATCGCAGCATTGTGTGCAGCACAACTGGTATTGGCGAGCAATCTTCAACATGACTTGGCTGGGCGGGGAATAATTACACCGGAATTCGCTGAGAGATCATCAGAGCTCGTTGTCAATAAGAAGGAGATCACGATTGTACAGGCTAAGAGCGAGGAAATCATTATTATCTGGACCAATGATGGCAATGGCGCTGCAACTAAAACAGTGACCGAGACGAAAACGGTTCCTCAAGTAGCTGGTGCGACAGTGGCAGCAGCAGCACAGGCAACCCATACCGTTGTAGTGGGAGGCCCCGCTGGAAAGGTATATACACCTGAGACGGTCAACGCTGCTATAGGGGATATGATCGTATTCAATTTCGAAATGGCAAATCACACACTCACACAATCAGCTTTCACAACACCGTGTGAAAAGCTGGCTACCGGTGGAATGGATAGTGGTTTCGTACCAAATGTTAATAATACCATCAGTCCACCCCCAGCCATGGCTATGCAAGTCATGGTTGATACTCCTCAATGTTAGTATACCACAGATATCATTTAACTACGAACGATACTAATACGGATACAGGGTTCTACTGTCGTCAAGCTGGCCACTGCGGATCAGGAATGGTTTTCAGTATCAACCCCACTGCCGACAAAACTCAAGCGCAGTTCAAAGCAATGGCTGTTGCACAAAATGGTACTGGAACCCAGAGTGCTATTCAAGGAGGATCCTCTGCTGGCGGAGCCAGTAGTGGAACATCTTCAAGTGCTGTTGCTTCAGCTGCCGGTGCAGTTTCTACCGCGACAGTTGCTTCTGGGACAGGGACAGTTGGTTCTGATGGAACATGCTCATGTAGCTGTCTTTGTGGACAAGCTGCGTTCCCAAATGCTGCAGTGCAGGGAGTTGGAATGTTTGGTGGAGTGTCTGGTTAGTATTTTCTTATATGATTATTTATATTCGTCGCTTGACTCTAACACTTATACAGGTGCTATGTCCATGTCTTTGCTAGAGAAATAAATGGACAGATGAGGAATAAAATTATCGCCTCTTCTTCTTTTTCTTCTCGGTATACCTAGTAGGTTAACTATACGTATAATGTTAGAATGGGGGAAATATGAGTTTTCTGTTTATGATATGATGGAAATAGCAGTCGCCCATCAGAGGCTTGACGCTTCGGATAAGAATATGGGAAAACTTCATGTATATGACTGGATCGTATGTTGGATTGGAGTTTTTAGACGGGTGTGAGATGAAGGAAGGATGAATTGCGGGAGATGGCTTAATAATAGTTCTTTTTATAATGTTCGACTACAAATGAATGAATAACACATATTTTATCAACAGCATTATCTACATAATCAATATATATAAGATGTTTATTGATAGAAAAGGGTTTATATCAAATTTCAAATTTTCACGTGCCCATCTCCAGTCTCAAATCACCTCCCCACTCACTTATTAAACTCTAAGGTTAACTCAAATTTTAAAATCTGGATCCCTTTTTTACATGAAGTTCATACGAGGTAAGGTAATTCATTCTTCGATTTCTACCTATCTTATCATCTTCTTCTCAAGTACCTACATCACAATAGATATTCAAAACAGAGCATCCATCAATCCAAGATATAACATCCATCCATCTAAAATCCATCCCATCAATCCAACATATCCCCCCCATTAGTTCCACCATCACAGCCTATAAAAGCCACCCAACCTCGGGTACCTGACACTAAAGCACCTAAAGCCCAACTCTAAAATTAGCGTTGCATGTCCCCCAAATTCCAATCCCTTCCCCGCCAAGCAGGGCCAAGCCCCACCAAACCCCATTCAGCAGATTCATATCAGAACAGGAGGAATGACTGGCGACCTTCATTTCTTTTACGAATGGGAGCTTTGAAACATTTGACAACTTTGCTTTCTACATACATACATACATACATAGATATCTATCTATCTACATACCTTTTTCAAGGAAATTCGATTCGTTAGATTTTGTTGCGTATTGTCGCTGTCCTCTCTTTTATTGATCAATCTATTCATCGTGAAGGTTACATACATACACATTCTTTTAGTTATTCAATTCTTTGATTTTAAATCGACTCTACTGTCGCAATTACAATTCCATTCTCAAACATCAAATCAACCCAAGACTTACGAAAGATTCCAAAACCTAACCTCATCTCCATTCCATACCATACCATACAAATCCAAGCATACCCCAACGCCAAGCGCAAAAATGCAAACCCCAACTCTCCTCACCATCTCTCTCCTCTTCCTCTCCAACGCCCTCTCCGTAACCGCCACTCCTCCCGCATGTCTCCTCGCAGCCATCAACGTTCAATCCGATCCCTCCGATCTCAAGGCTCTGTGCGGAACATTGGAACATGCTGTGACGGGAAATATCACGGATAGATGTTCGGGGGATAAATACAAAGAGGCTGTGAGCTCTTACCAAGCTACTTGTTTTGAGGGTGCGGGGGTTAATATTAGTGAGTTTTTTCCATTCGTTTTCGAATTCTGTTATGCAAGGAATGGCACAGGACGGGAGCGAACAGCGACCAGCAAGTTCCGTAGACCCAGCTTGGGGTGTTCACCAAGAGCATGAGAGGAGAAGGAATATAATGAAAAGGGAAATAAGAAGTGCATCACTCTAACCAATCCAACAGCAATCACATCCTCCTCTGCCTCCGCCACAGGCACAAACACAGCATCTATCTCTGGCTCTGGCTCTGCCTCCGCAAGCGCAACCGCAACCGCAACCGGAAGCGGCGCAAAAGCTACCGGAACCGCTTCCGCAACTGGATCGAGCGGATCGAGCGCTAGCGCGACGGGAAGCACTACTGGTGCGAGCGCGGCTACGGCTACGGGTGCTGCAGGAGCTTTGGTTGTTCCGGGATTCTTGGGAGTTGTGGGATTAGTTGGTGCGGTTCTTTTCTAGGTAGAGGGAGTTGATTGGATTTGGGGAGTGAAATACAGTCGATGGAGAGGGGAAATATAGCCAGGTGCTAGATTGGGATGGGAGAGGATGGTTTCGAGGGGAGATGATGCGGTTTGAGAGGTGGGAGAAGATGAATTTGTGCATATTTTAGAGATACCAGGATTGTTTCTTTACAATTACAATTACAGTTGGTGTTGGTGGAGTGAAGGTTGAGATGGGATGGATAGTTCAATAAATCGAGGATGTTCAAGTGTGTTTTGTTTTGTTTTGTTTTTTTGATTTTATTTTGTTGTTTTGATTTATGAAGTTCCTTTCTGGGTATTATATGTCATATCAAAGATTTAAAGAGTTGATATACTTTCTAGACTCTTGGGCTACACTCCAGAAGACTGCTAGGTACCTACTTCATTTTATTCCATTTCATCATCTCCCAATTTTTTTCCTAATATCAGAAGAATCCAATCTAATGTCGCACACTTCTCAAAGGATATTCTGGAATTTTTATATTTTTATATGTACGATATATATCTGGATATGTATCTTCTTTTTCTCATTGAGTCGATTGGTTTTGTTTTTGTTATTTTATTGGATTATTTTTTTTATTTTGCTTTATTTCATCTCATTCCATCCCTCTCAACTCATCCCTCTCAACTCATCCCTCTCAACTCATCCCTCTCAATTCATCCCTCTCAACTCATCCCTCTCAACTCATCCCTCTCATCTCATCCCTCTCATCTCATCCCTCTCATCTCAAAGAGCAAGTAAGGAAGTAAGGAAGTAAGAAAGTAATATACTCTCCATCTAACTCTCCATCCAACTCTCCATCCAACTCTCCATCCAACTCTCCATCTAACTCTCCATCTAACTCTCCATCTAACTCTCCATCTAACTCTCCATCTAACTCTCCATCTAACTCTCCATCTAACTCTCCATCTAACTCTCCATCTAACTCTCCATCTAACTCTCCATCTAACTCTCCATCTAACTCTCCATCTAACTCTCCATCTAACTCTGATAGTAATTATTACTATCTAGATATATATCTATCGATACCTAGGTATATATATATACCTATATATACATCTAACCTCAATTCTCAATTCTCAAATTCCGAAAGTTCTAAGCTTTATTTATATCTTGAGTAGGTACTGAGGATGGAGTATTGAGTATTGAAGACTGAGTATTGAGTAGAGAATATCGATATTGATTTTGACATTCATTGTGTGTGGTTTCTTTGTTTGTTTGTTTGTGATATTGTATGTGTGTAGTGTGTATGTGTGAATGTGTGTGTGGTGTGTATATATGTGGTTTAGATGTTACGGTAATGGAATTTTGGAACTCTGGAACTCTAGATATCTTGCTTGTGTGAGAGGGGGATGGAGTTTGAGTAGGTTGAGGGAATGATTTGTTCATTCGTTCGTTTGTTTGCTGTGTGGTCAGGAAGAGGGGGAGGGGGGCTGCTGTTGTTATCTGTTAGAGTCTCTGTTGTGTTGTGTTGTTTGTCTGCTTGGATTGGGTGGGCTTAGATTGGATTGTTTCGCATCGTATCGTGTAGATAGATGTATTTATGTGTGTGTATATGAAGCATGTATCTTTGAATCCGCATCTAACTTAATCACTTACTCACTACCGGGGTCCAGATACTTGGGTTCAGTTATAAATCCAGTCTCCGACTCGCTGACTCGCTGACTCGCTGACTCGCTGACTCGCTGACTCGCTGACTCGCTGACTCGCTGCCTCGCTGCCTCGCTGCCTCGCTGCCTCGCTGCCTCGCTGCCTCGCTGCCTCGCTGCCTCGCTGCCTCGCTGCCTCGCTGCCTCGCTGCCTCGCTGCCTCGCTGCCTCGCTGCCTCTCTGCCTCTCTGCAAGATCAAGATGAAGGGTTGAGGAGTATGGATATGGATATGAATGTGGACATCGATATGTATATAGATATTTAGATATCACAATAGCACATCCATCTAATTACCATTCATCAACCAATGATCCATAATTGATTCATCATCTATGCTCGCTCATCCAGATCTCAGATTTAGAGAAATGTGAATATTACAATACAATGATGACATACCCCCTCCTTCCCTCTCAGCTCGTACCAAATCGTCAATTTTGAACAATGCTGACTTGTTATTAACATCTACGTGACATCCAATTAGCTTTACTCTTGCCGGTATCTGAGATTAAGAAATCTCATTTTCGGTACCTCTGGTTTATATCTTGGTTATCTTCTTCTGTCCGCATCTGTATCTGCATCTCGATCTGTATTTTTGTCCATCTTTATCTTTCTCTGCATCTTCATCTCCGTCTATATTTTCCAGACTCGTGTTTGCAGGGTTAAAGTAATGTATAGAAACTCTTTCTCTTAAAACTGTTTTATAGAGAGGGAGCTATGAGTTACCGGAAGGTATATTGATATGATTTATTGACTTGACAACATAATCAGACCAAGCAAGTAGAACATGTCTAGCATAAGCATCAGACACTATCAAGCATCTAGAAGTTTGAAGATTTCAATCAATAGCTCGCAAAACGACATAAACGACCTCATCGGAAGCAGTTATCACTACTAGGTAATCACCTGAAGTATTGGCATTTGATCACTGGAGCTCACGCCAAAATCAAACCCAGGAACTAATAACCAGTAACTCTAGCTAACTAGCTCTCAAAGTCGTTGATCCATTCTCTGGATATCTGGTAAATCTAATAGCTAATTTGAACGTCTAATCCTTTGCTGAGCTTTGACTTTAGCATTGGCTGGACTTCAGTGATATGGCGAGCAGCTTGCATGCGTGATCATGATTAGCTTGTAGATGTAAAGGCAGTGAACGAAGAAAGAAGGAGTGGTGACTAGTGTTTCGGTATCAAAGAATTGCTATGGTATCGCAACTTGCAATATCTTCGCTTGAATTCGTACTTTTGATTTAGCTACTTAGTATGCAAGTGTGCCACATGTAGGCAGCCATTAGAACTTTTAATTATGGCTCAAGATTGAGCTATATCCCTACGCTCATGGTGAGCATGAAACTCGACTCTATAGTCTTGGTGCAGTAGCTTTAGCAAAGCTCACCATTCTCTCATCGCCACCTCTCCTTTTCTCTTGAATATCAACTCAACCACCTGTAGCCTCCCTATAAAAGCTCAAACTCCTATTTGCCCCCGCTGTAACAAACGCCTCACTCTTCCCCTGCACTTTTGGCAACCATTTGACAGCCCAAAGCGCTTTATCCGTCTCACTATGCGTCGCCACGCAATTTCTTCCCTCTACACTCCATACCTTGGCTTTGCCATCCCAAGCACCACTAACTAAATATTCGCCCGTGAAACTCCAGTCGATGCTGAAAATCCAGGCTGTGTGGCCTGTCATATTAGCGACTTGTTCGCCATGGGTAACGGAGTAGAGGGCAATGGTTGTGGAATCGCCAGCAGCAGCCAGATAAGTAGAGAGGGGAGAGAAGGAAATGGTGCGGATGGGTTGGATCAGCCCTAAATTTGTTAGTATGCTAGCTCTTGTCCCATCCAATTGATATTTGAAACTTACCAGGTAAACTATGTACCATTCTCCCCGTATCATTATTAAAAACGTAAACACCTCCATTCTCATGTCCACTGGCCGTAAATCTTCCATCCGCACTAATATCCACGCATAGTCCAAAGCTTCCCTTCGTCTCATACTCTCTCATTTTCTTGCCTACACTTTTCTTTCCCGCATTCTCTTCAGCTCCTTGCAACAAATCCCATACCCCAATCTTCCCATCAATGGTCGTTGCTGCAAGGAAGTTTCCATCAGCACTTAATGCTAGCGCCCAGATTTCACCGGGCTTGTTGCCATCGAGAATATGGCCATGATGAGACCATTCTTCTGATCCTTCTGCGTTTGGAGAAGAGCTCCAAATACTAACTGTACCGTCGAAACCGGCAGATGCTGCGATAGTGCCAGATCGAGAGGTGCAGATGTGGTGACAGCCGAGTTTGTGGGCGGGGAGAGTTTGAGTTAGAGAAGGGGGCGTGGTGAGTGTGCTGTGGACTTTAAGGGAGGATGTACCGGAGGCGGAGAGTATAGAGCTGGGAGTTACGGCGAGGGAAAAGATGTCTGTTTTATGGGCTGGGGTGGGTTAGCATGAAGGCTGGATTTAAGATATAGCTATTGGTGCAAGCGGGGGATGGTGAGGTAGAGGGGCAGTTTGGAGTATTTACCATCATCGATCGTATGCGTTGTAAGGTATTGTTTCGACTTTTGAATATTAGCACATGTACTTTCATATTCAATGGTTTACATACCATTGTCACCGGTTCATTTGAATATTTGGGTATATGGGTTTTGGAAGAAAGGGTGTTTTTGGTGGATGTTGTGAATAAAGTTGAAGCTCTGGAAGCTTTGGCGGGGTTGAAGAAAATATCATGACCTCACAGGTAATTTCAGCAAACGCATTTTACATAACACGAAGATAAGATTTCAAACAAATATTGATGATGCAGTAGGATATTCTTATTTTGATGTACAGTTTAATAAATTGTACCAGTTCTGAGGATATATACCTCACGGTTCAGGATCTCTTCTCCATGTCCCAAACGCCATGGCTGATGCCAAACATGATCATCTCCATTTCTGATTCTCACCAGTTCCTTCGTCTCGCATGCCTTCCAATTCCCTCCAATTCCCTACTACCCCTCAGAGTCACCTAATCAATTCTTCTGGAGCCAATAATCTGCTTAGGATTCTTCTCCTCATATATCTTTCTCGCGGCATCCTTAGCTGCCTTCTTGTCTGCCCGCTTAGTTTCCAACTGCTCTAATTCTGCCTCTCTCTTGGTCTTTTCCTCTGCAGCTCTTGCTTTTCCTGCTTCTATTTTTACTTTCTGCTCAGCTATCTCATCAGCTCTGGCTTCTCTTGCAGCGGCATTTGCTTCGTGTGCATTGGTCTTGAATAAGGTCTTGATTTCTAAATCATTGTTAACCGCCATCCTCTGATATATCATATAGAAGATCTTTACCAGCAACACAATATGGACATAATAAATGTGCTCTCTTAATGTGACCACAAGCAGAGCATCTATTCAAGTTTGTAACATCTTGTAGTCCTTTGCCTGCCATTTGCCTATGTCTCTTCTTCATGTGTGAAGTCTTCTTCTTTGGTACGGCTTTCAATATTCCCTCCCATAATCCTTCGAGAAAGCCGGGAATATTAAGATGTATCGCAGATGGGATGGCGAGTACTGGGAGTAATGGATGTGACAATTGTCGCGAATATAAAGTTGTTGATCTCGTTGCGAAAGTCGCTGTTGCAGGTGCCAATCGTGGAAGAAATGACGAAAGTATCGACGACGTAGTAGCGTGAGCTGCCGCCATTTTGATTGAGATATCGAAGGAGAATTACTAAAGCACGTATGGGTATTCAACCTCACTGTCGATACTGATTCATCAAAATCTTGAATCTTTCACTTCTCGGCTCGCATGGTTAATTCACTAGTTTCCACTCACAGATAAGCTAGCGCATTTTAAGATTAGCTTAGATTTGCCCAATTACTTTCCCCTGAAGTGCACGCTATATTGCCAAAATAATCTGGAGACTGACCTCCTTCCCTAACTTTGTTCTTTATCAACGACTTTTGATTGCATATTACCTTCGAAGACAAATATCTTCATTTTTGTTTTCATTCAATTCAAAGATAACACCCTCGTTTATAAAGACTCAAGCTTTAATACACTCTTTCCAAGATGTCAACAATAACTGATAGACACGCTCCTCAACCTTCGGTATTCCCAAAGAGCCATGTTGGTTTCGATAGTATCACATCACAAATTGAGCGCAAGCTCTTGAAACGCGGTTTCCAGTTCAACGTTATTTGCGTCGGTGAGTTTACTTGGTACATTGTTGACAAGTGATTTGAGTGAGTTTTCTAATAGATTTATCTTGTAGGACAAACCGGTCTCGGAAAATCTACCCTCATCAACACCATTTTCGCCTCACATTTGATCGATTCCAAGGGAAGACTCACCCCAGATGAGCCAGTACGATCTACCACCGAAATTCAAACCGTTTCCCACATCATCGAGGAGAATGGCGTAAAGCTGCGACTCAACATTGTCGATACCCCAGGTTATGGAGATCAAGTCAACAATGATAGATGCTGGGATCCAATCGTCAAGTACATTAAAGATCAACACTCTGCATACCTCCGAAAGGAACTTACTGCTCAAAGAGAGAGATATATTCAAGATACCCGTATTCACTGCTGCTTGTTCTTCATTCAACCTTCTGGCCATGCCTTGAAGCCAATTGACATCGTGGTTCTGAAGAAGCTTTCAGATGTTGTCAATGTCGTACCAGTCATCGCCAAGTCGGATTCTTTGACTTTGGAGGAACGTGCTGCATTCAAGGAGCGCATAAAGGAGGAATTCGCTTTCCACAACTTGAAGATGTTCCCATATGAGAATGATGAGTTTGATGAGGAAGAGAAAGCGTTGAACGCACAAATTAAGGTGAATTATATTGCATTGGTGTCTCAAGCAAGCATACTAACAATATCAGGACATCATTCCATTCGCCGTTGTTGGATCTGAGAAGGATATCATTGTTGGAGGCAAACCAGTTCGAGGACGTCAAAACAGATGGGGTGTTATCAATGTCGAAGACGAGAACCACTGCGAATTCGTCTACTTACGAAACTTCCTTACCCGAACCCATCTCCAAGACCTTATCGAAACTACATCTCAAATCCATTACGAAACATTCCGTGCTAAGCAATTGTTGGCCCTCAAGGAGAGTAGTGCTGCAGGACATGCTGGTAGCAGACCAATCAGTCCATCAGCTGATAGAGAATTGAGCAGAAACTCCCAAAGAATGACCATGAACGGCTATTAGGGGAATCCAAGGGATATGAATGATGGCTAGTTGGTGGTGATGCTGGGATCTGGTGAGTTTGGATGATTGGTTGTGTTTATGATGGCGAGATGGTATTTGCCAAAAGCGACAATTTTTTGACAGGAGATTAGTGGAGAGTTTAATGGACTGCTTTTGTGGAGCCGGGCTTTTCTAAACTGAATATTGCTACATTTCTCCTTTGCTTAATTAGCCCTTTTCTTTAATATCCTAAGGGTTCATTTCAATAGTAAATAATAAGATCTTCTTTTGATTCTTGGGTCTATTCATATCTTGTGATTCCGTCTATGGAAATTGAATGAGTAGTACTTGATCTCACCAATTGACTGTGCATTATTGACATCACATTGATGGATCAAACAAATAGATTGGAATGGCCTTGCTTGATATTACTAGGTACCTACCTAGGTAGGTAGGTCTGGCCATGAGGTTCCATCCAGCGGTCCGCATCAGAGTGTGATGTGGCTGGCTCTCCTGGCCTAAAATCTCCGGCCCCAAAGGACCCCCAAGCGCTAACGTCGATAAGGGGTTTCCCCAGCTTTATCGCACGACCAGCACGCACCAATGATTTAAGCGTCCCTAAAGCACTTCCACTTCCTAAATATCGGTTTTCTACACATATGTGTTTTCTCCAACCGCCACTCCTGCGACATAGTATCCTACGCAAAACCTCAATTGCAATTCGTTTTCCGAGATCTTCTTCGCGGAATCTTAGCACGGGTATTTTTGCAAAAATCGTTAATATGTCTCGTATGTTATGTTCTCTTTCTTATTTCCCTTCTCAGCAGCGAAAGAGAGAAAGACAAAAAAGGAGATCTCGATATTAGAAGAGGAATTGAAAATGAAAATAAACTAAAAAAAAATAAAAACTAACACCACCTCCCCTCTCCTAGCCATCCCCCCCACCACCAACCCCATCATCATCAGCGGGCCCTCGGGCGTCGGAAAAGGCACGCTCTACTCGCGACTCCTGGCCAACCACCCCTCGCTCTTCACCACCTCCATCTCGCACACGACGCGGGCGCCGCGCCCCGGCGAACAGCGCGATGTGGATTATTACTACGTGTCGATGGAGGAGTTTGAGGCGATGATTGCGGCGGGGGATTTTGTCGAGCATGCGAAGTTTGGGGGGAATAGGTATGGGACTAGTAGGAAGATGATTGAGCAGAAGAGAGGGGAGGGGAAGATTGTCGTGTTAGATATTGAGATGGAGGTTTGTTTTTTAGATTTGATTTTTGGAGGAGAGGGGAAGAGGGGGAGAGGGGTTACTTCTCTTCTCTCCTCTCCTCTCCTCTGCCCCTCACTGTTCTGGAGGAATTAACTTGCTAATAAGAGATACCACAGGGCGTAAAACAAATCCACGCGCTCACCCCACCATTCCCAGCACGCTACGTATTCATTTCTCCTCCCTCCACCGCGGAGCTCTCACCCTACCAAGTTCTCGAGAAGAGATTGCGCGGAAGAGGTACGGAAAAGGAAGAATCGATTCAAAAGCGTTTGGAACAGGCAAAGCTGGAATTGGAGTATTCGAAGAAGGAAGGGGTCCATGATAAGATTATTGTGAATGATGACTTGGAGGTTGCGTACAAGGAGTTGGAGGATTATATTTTTGGCAAGGGGGGAAAGGCCGCGGATGAGAAGGAGGCGGGTGTTAGTGTTCAGGACTGAGGTGGAGTGGGTGGTGAGAGGAGAAAATGGTGTTGTGGGGTGCCAACGGTAGTATGATTTGAGCGTGTGAAGAGAAGATTTGCATTGCGAGAAGTTTTCCTCGAATGTGCAGAGGCCATGAAGGGTCATACTTAGAGATTGTGTGGTTCTTCACATGGGGTTGGGTGGACATAGAAAAGACTTTTATACCTAGACAAAAGAATGCATACATTATCAACCTCCAATTTCCTGAAATCCGAATTTCAAATGATGAAATCGTATGTTTCTCGGGTATGGAAAAGGGGCTATAAACTGAACGGGCGATTCTGCAGGCCGGATATTTGAAGCGGTCATCTTCTGTGGGCCATATACTTGGGGGGACCGACTTTTGAGGCAGGTCATATGGAATAGGCCATTTCGCAGCATCCACAATTCCCAGAGGTCAACTACTTCGCACTCAACACCGCAAAAAGAACTCAGTCTCACAGCATCATTGAGAAACTTTATTAAAGGGCCTACCCATATCATATGGTTCTGACATCACACAACGAATTTAACGAATGACTCCCGCCACATTCATCCATCCATCTATCCATACGATCCACCCATCACAGGAAACAAAGCCTAGGTAATCCACGCATTCTAGAACAAACGACCGAATATCAACCCCCCTCACAATAAAAAGATTTCCCACGCGTGCTCTAGAATTTTTATAATTGAAGGACCGAAATGCTGCTCCGACGCTGTAACACCTTGAATGGGAAATTCAAATGTATTGTAATGTATAAGGAAAATGGAAATGGAAATGAAATTCCGGGAGATGAGAAAATTCGGGGGAATTTGCGAAATTCTTTCGCGCCTGCCTGCCTGCCTGCTCGCCTTAAAACTCCATCCTTTCGCTCTGGGAGGGGGAAATTGTTCTTTGAGGGTCGTTCTTGGGATTGTAGGAATTTCTGTAATTTTGTATCATATCATATCGAATTGGAGAGGTCTGGCAACATCGAAAGGTAAGAAATGTTGAATGGAATCGAATCTATTTCTTTCCTTGTGCGGCGGCGAGTGCTTCGGCTGCTTTTCTCTCATCGGCTGGGAGGAGGTTAGTAAGTGTGGACAGATGGATGGATAGAAAGATGAGTAGAGTAGTTGAGGAATCATACCTTTCTTTTGCTTTTCCATTAATAGAACACGGGTCTTATCTTTCTCGGCCTGCATTTGCGATTTCGACATTCCGCTTCCGGCTTTCTGTTTGGAGAGGGGCGGGTTAGTCCATTGGGTTTTAGAAAGAGGGAGAGGGAGAGACAGCAACGGCATATTCATAGTATATCATGCGAATAGAGGTAGGAATTCGAGGAACCTAAAAGCAAAATAGGAAAAAAAACATACAGCAAGTTGAGCTTGTTTCTTAGCATTAGCCTCACGAGACTTTTCTCTCTGATTTCCTCTAGCCATTTTTGAATAATTAAGTATAAAAAGAGTTTGGTATTAGATGTAAATGGTGTGCGAGTGTAAGAAATGTGTTGTGTATCTGCGTGGCCTTTTATCTTTTTGCAAAAATGCAAGTGAGGGTTTGGTCAGATTGTGGAAAAGAGAAAATGAATGGTGAGGCTGAGATACTGTATATGCACGGAGACAGAGAGAGAGAGAGATATGAGAAATGAATGTTCTGGATTATTGATACGGAGAATCGGAGGATGGGTTTAAGCGAAGGGGGATTGAGAGTGTTTGATTGGTGGATTGGGGGATTAGTGAGAATGGATGGATATGGATATGGAAATGGATATCCATGGATGGATAGGACAGGTTAGAAATAGAAATCATAGAATCCCGGAGAGTGTATATAGCAAAATCATGGGATTTGATTGGAGGATGGCGATCTAGAGGTTTCGTTTCAAATGACTGGTGAGTAGGAGATATTTACGAGACTACAGTACTCCCACGAGGTACGAATCTGTTCATCTACATTTGTACGATGGATGAAGTCTGTTTCTATTTACAAACGCAAGTTATAAAAAGAATTGTACGTATACGGTAAGTACATTCATTGTATGCAGTACGTCCCTTACAAAGACCTTTCAACAAGAACAATTGGCCCAAAGTTTCCTTCTTCCTCTCTCTCTCTTCTTTCTCTTCTTTCAACACACACTCGGTATGTAACCTTACATTCAAATCATGAAACATCCTTACCCAAAAGGCATTTTTCATCCAATGATGGGAACTCGACTTTTATATCACGAAACAGAGCTATTTCCAAACCTCTCTCTGACTTGACAATCAATTCATGCATTGCATTTCGACTTCATTGGATGAGAAGGAACTTTGTTACGACGATGATCGATGTCAAGCGCGTCTTTTCAACTCTTTCGCGCCAGAGAGGAGTTCTCCTTAAACACCTTGAAGCAAAGCGAGTTTGGGTGATCAAACCTTACCTATTTTCATCCATTCATTTCTGCCCTTTCGAGATTTCTCTTCTGAATAAGTTCTAGAGGTTGTACATGATGGTCAAAGAATCTCTAGGTAATCTATATGTTATTGGATTTCCTTTCATCTTTTGGTCAATCATGGGATAATAAAGACTTCATTCACCCCACAATAGCTACATCTTTTGGCGTCAAAGTTTGAGTCAAAGGGTTTGGGGGATACTTCTTTCAATCTTCATATACATTCACCTTTTCGTCTTTTGTGTCTATTGTCTACCTTTGAAGACAATAAGACTATTTCGGAAAGATCTTTATTTCTATTGTTAGAATTATTCAAACAATGAAGTCGGCACTTCAATAACGAACAATTATTTTATTTAATATATCTTCTTTTCCTCCTGTTTGAGATCCTGAATCTGTTTCTTCCTTTTTTGACTTTGAAAATTATTATACACTTCTTCACGATCTTTCTAAAAGTTCTATACACAACTACAACTACACAGCACAACTTTACTTGCCAGGTTTCATACTTAGTTTCTACTACACACATACTTTGAAAGTATTCCAAAACTCTTCTATCTACTGCAGGCAGTTACTCCTACTCTTCCTTTCCACAATTGTAAGTTCTTTCTTGCCGTCGACTTGGATATCATCCAATACACTTGGCTAACACATTCTTAGACTCGAAATTTATACACATTTTCGTCCTTTAATACAATATAATCACGATGTTGAACGTCAAACAAGCCGGTCGAGGCTTTGTGATTCTTAACATCATTCGTGTTATGAACATTATAGCACTCCTCGATGTTATCGCAGCAAGTTGGATCATGCTTGTCATGACCGTCAAGACCTCTAACGTAAGTCCCTCTTCCCTCGTTAATTATATCAATACCCAACTAACACTTCATCTAGTTCTTCTTCTTTGATGGAGTCTCTCACTTCATCACCAGCTCTATCGGAATCTTCCTCATTATCTCAGAGCTCTCCCTCTTCAAGAAATACTTTGAGAATTTCTGGCCTCTCCTCTGTCCCCACAATGGCTTTCTCTTCCTCGGTCTCTCCATGTTAGCTCTTGGTTTCAATATCCTCGGAAACTTGAACAAGAATGCCACTTCTGTTCAAAACTTAGGATTACCTATGTGGCGTGTGGTTATTTCTTCGGGATGTCTTTCAGCTATTCTAGGAGGTATCAATTGTATAGCCGTAAGTCCTCTTTCCTTCCACTCCTTCTCCCCCTACTCTTTCATAACAAATCCACTAACACACTCACAGTCCCAAATCTTCACCACCAAAACCAAAACCGCACGCCAACTCCGCGCTCACGGCGCCACCGACACCCCCAACCCCTACGAAAAACGCCTCTCCCTCCCCTCCTCCATCAACAACGATCTCCCCTCCTACTACACCAATCCTGCCGAACGCCGCAAATCGCGCTTCCCCTTCCGTCTCCCTCTTCGCGCTTCGCAATTCCACATCTCCAAACCCGTCATCTCAGACCCGCAGCCCTTCCACCCAGATCTCGAAGTCGGCGAAAGCTACGATCATCAAAAAAATGATAGAAGTAGTCCCATCGTTCCCGGTGTCGAGAGACCACCTACCGCAATGCATCCTGCGAATTTGAGACCCCCGCCTGCACCCAGAAGTAGCATCTATAGTGTTGCGAGTAACGTGACGAGGTTTACTAGGATTTAGTCAGGGGTGGGAAGGTAGATGGTTTTGGGCGTGAGTAGCGTGCCCATTTGGCGGGAAGGGATCAATCGTTCAATCAAAAAGTATAGCATAGCATAGCATAGCGTAGGATAGGATAGGATAGGATAGGATAGGGTAAATAGCGAGATTTTGATAATCCTGGAAGGAATAAGTTACGAGGGAATTGGTGTTTAGGGGTGTTTAGGGGTGTTTAGGGAATGGATGGATATATGGAATACCCCAATGATCCTTTTTTTGCTTTTCTGCTTTTTTGTATTTTTTTTTACCTTCTTGTCTTGTCTTTTTTTTATATACACAAAAGGGGGTTGATGGAGTAGGATGGATAGGATAGGATGGGATGATATGGGATGATATGGATGAATAAATGAACAAATAAATGAATAAATAAATTCCCTAATGATTATTCACAAATTTCAATTTCAATTTCAATTTCATTTTTATTTCATTTCTACGATACGTCTATCCACTTGTAAATAAATTAACCGATTTCTTTTCATAATGCTTACTTACTTGTACTGTTACTTTTACTTCTAACTCACACTTTACTTGACTTTTCGAAATAAATTCCAATTGCTCATTGTGATTACTAGGTAGATTAGATTATACTATTTGATTGATATCTTGACTGATATTCGTATTCTCGTAGAGATATTCGTGTTATTGTAGGTGAGTAAAGTAAGTAATAAGTAATAAGTGAGTAAGTGAGTGAGTGAGTGAGTAACTTTCACAACGCCATATTTGAGATTCCTTCACACCTAGCTAGGTATGTTTCATAACGTGTCTATGCTATGATATGTTATGTTATGCGATGCGATGCTATCCTTGTTACTTCCAATTTGACTCCCGCTCCCGCACTTGCTCTCGCTCGCTCGTTCGTTCGCTCGTCTCCTTGTCCGAATCAAGCTAGAAAATAAAAAATACAAAAACATCCATTCAATTCATTCATTCATCCATCTATCATCAATCCCGCAATCCCAATCCCAATCACAATGCCAAATCCCAATAACCCCTCCATCCCTTCGTCCATCCCTTCGTCCATCCCTCTCCCCCTCCCTTCCCATCCGTCAAACAAAAACAAACCCCAAAACCCTCAAATATACGCGCTAAAATCCCCCTCACTCCCCATCCCCACCCCGTCCCCCTCCCCCTGCCGACCAATCCTCGCCTTCGTACTCCCAATCCTCTTATTCTCCCTCGCATCTACACTTACCGGTCTGCGGCCCGCCCCCTTCACCATCCGCGCATTGGGTCCCACAATGAGATTTCCCATTGTGGGGGATTCTTCGCGCGCTTCGTGGGGGGTTTGTTCTGGATTTTTGTTTTGAGAAAGGGAGTGAGAGTGAGAATGTGAATGAGAATTGGAATTGGAATGAGAATGTGAAGTCGAGTGGGGATGTGAAGCAGAGGTGTAATAACCATCTCCTTTCAAATCCGCTTCTGTTGATCTTCTCAACGCTGGGTTCTGATTTTGTTCATTCCAGATAGAATCCGCAGATTCTCCGAGATCAGGGGTATATGGATTCGATAGAAAAGGCGAGAAGTGCGGGATGGCGAGTGTGGAACTTCTTCCTCTCGATGTGTTTCCCGTCGCGCTTGCACCTCCTATCCCAGATCCGCTCGTACTACCGCCCAAAGGGGGGAGTTGCGGGATTTGGGGAATCGTCGTGGTAGTGCCGTGGCGTATGAAATTAGGCTGCGAATCGACATCTGTGCTTTCGCCCATGCTTTCCCAGCTGCCGGCGCTGAATTCGCTGGGGAGGATGTCGCTGCCATTTTCGGTTTCTGTGGTTTGTTGTCTTGTTCCTCTTTCTCTTTCTCTTTCTCGTTCTCTTCTATCTATTTCTAAAAGCTGCGTATGCCTACTCTGACTCTCAGAAATATTTCCCGAGTTGGGCACTTGCTCTTGACGAATCTGTAATTCCTGCATACTCGGACTCACACTCTCGAACCTACTATCCAAGCTGACCAAACTGTCGCTACCCTTCAATCTGCTTTTGCTAAACGTAGCCTGGATATACGATCTCAACTGTCTGGTTCCTTCTTTAGCGCTCGAATACCCATTCGGATATGTTATTCCCAACGAGTCGTTATTGATTCCCGCACTAGCGGCTTGTACTTCATCTCCAACATGTACTTCTTCCGGCACGGTTGGCGAATCCGCGTAACTTCTTCTTGCCTTGCGACGCACAGAGGCCATACCCCCTCCGCTGAAAAAAGGAGATGCGCCTCCGCGACGAGAGACTGGTCGTGTGTTGATGCTACTATACGACATTCTACTATTTCCTCCGGTTTCCGACTCCCAGATTGGTGCCGGGGCCCGAGGACTCTTAGGTACGGGTTTGATGCTTAACATTCCATTACCGCCGCTTGGCGATACCGTTGCGTGGCCGAATTTCAGAAGATCAGTGGAGGTGGTTGAGTATACGCTTGTTGCACTGCGATGTTTATCAACATCGGTATCCAGAGTATGAACCGTTTTCCACGTGCGAGAATTGCGTGCGAGACTGGGATGTTGACCATGTCCTATACTTCCTCTGCGACCTGGTGAGTTCAAGATATCGAATGAAGAAATAGATTCTCGAGCTCCGTGACCAAGCCCACTCAATCGTTTATCTACACCTTCTGCCAATGCGAAATTGAGATTTCGCGTTGTGGATTTACGATGGGCTCCTTTTCTCTCGTTATTTTGACTTTGTTTGTTTTGTCGTGGTGCAAGAGGTGCTCGGGTTGCTTTACTCCAATCTCCTGATAATACTGAGAAGTCATCCAAAGGAGAAGTTGAAAAGTTACTATCCGTCAAATTCAATATCGTACCATCAGAAGGGTTGGTGCCAAAGAGAGTTTGATTGCCAAGTTGGCTCATTTCACTGTTCCTTAACCTTGGATCGTTACCCACGACATATTGCGATCGTCTCGTGTGTCCTTTCCGTGAGTAGTTCGAATAGTTCCGTTGTAGCATATTAGTACTATTTGTTCTCGCACTATCCAAAGTATAATCCGTTTCTTGAGTATTTCTCCATGTACTCCGATTTGGAGTTTTGCTAAGTGCATTTTCCGAATTTGCACGCGCCCTACTTCCAAAGCTTTGAGATTCGCGAAACTTCGACTTTGGAGCCAAAGTTTGTGAGCGTCGGAGAGATTTGCGATTGTCATGAACCACGATATTGGGGGTAGTCGATGTGTAAACACTAGAACTAGCATCGATGGAGAAGCCAGAGGTATCGAGCTGCAGAGGTGCGATCTTTTTAGCAGAATATGCTCGTTCTATGCTAGACGTGCTTCTTATGGGACCTGAAATATCCTCTTTGGAAGGTCCCCCTGAACGTAACGAGGAGCTGGAACGTTTTCTGCGGTAATAAAACAGACAGAGAATAAGTGCGATAAAAACAATCAATACTGGAACCACAATTGCCGCAATGACTCCTTTGCTCAAATGTCCGCTCGCAGGTGAGTTTACACCAGATGTTGCAGATGTACCCGATGCTGGTGGACCAGCTGTAGATGAGGAGCCATCTGATGCTTGAATGGCTAAATTGAAAGATTCGGAGCTTGAGCGTCTTGATGTTTTAGAGGTTGCTGTAAGTGTGATATTGATGTTTGAGGGTTTAGCAGATGTAGGCACCTTTCCTGATATTTTGAAACTATGAGCATCAAAATATATCCAGTCCGTTGGTGGAGATACTTGTGCTGTTAATGTAGTATCGTAATTGTTTCCAATATAAGCGCCGAGGCTAAAAGAGAATTTGGAACCAATACTTGCATTCACATCTTTTATAGGACCAACGAATAATGCTGTAGCTATTTTGATGAGCACCACAGTATTAACTTGATCCCCATATATATCTACAGCCTGTACGGAGACATTGTACGAGATTGCATCAGATGGTGGTGTGCCGATCAGACTGAGAGTAGTATTATCGAAGTCAAGCCATTCTGGCGTTTGAGCAGTGACTGAGACTATGCTTGAAGCATTGGCGGGCTGTCCATCAAGCTGCAGACTGTTTTGTAGACCTGTGTAGTTGACCTCGACTCCTGGTGTAGCATTAACAACTGAGTTTACTGTACTAAATGCCAGTAGATGTACCCCAACTCTAATGTTGAAGGGAATCGATGCTCCAGAGTATCCTGATACATCCGAAGCAATAAGCTGAACTCCGAAAGTCTGTGGTGGTTGTATGAGGGAAGCATACTCCGGTGTTTGACCGCTAAAAGTAAGGGTGTTCTCGTCGAAAAGAACCCACGAAGGTAGAGGTGTATCGTCGACTGTTAAAGCGTAGTATTTAAGAGCTGTCCCGCTAGGACTTGAGAAAGTTGCCGGGTCGAAGCTGATCTCGAAGGATGATGAAGGATGGTATAATAACGTGGACGGTGCTGAGAAAGGCCCTTCTGAAGCAAGTTGCGATTGGGCTGAAATTTTAATTGTCGGTGGTGAGTTTTTGGACACTACTAGAGTAGTATTCGACGTCACAGATCCCGAGGAGTCGCTTGCAATTACTCCAAAGATAACCTCCGTTACAGTTCCAGTGCCAGTATCACTACTAGATGGTATGCCTGATAATGTTCGAGAAGTACTATCAATGGAGAGCCATTGAGGCGAGTCTGCTAAGCTGTAGCTGAGAGGGGATGTTGAAGTAAATGTTGATTGGGGAAATGTATATGAATAAGGTATTGACACGCGCGCAATAGGAGGGAACTGAGAATTGATCGGGTATGCGATAGATGGTATAGCATCAACGACTGCTCCAAAGATAGCAACACCAGACAAAGTAATCCTCAATGCCATATCCAGAGAGTCTTGCAGATATAATTCTCAGAACGTCAGGATGAAGATACTACTTGCATACAGAATGAGAGATAATACATGTCAACAGAATCTTTGGATGAAAACGGCGACTGGCAGAAGAAATTCGACATAGGAAAAGCTAGATATCATGGACTTGCCATCGCCAGATATTCCAAAGGCGCAGTAGAGGGAGATCCAC